TTTTCTTCATATAACCCAGCTTCTTGGATTATTTGCTCAGCATACAGGTTGAATAAGTATGGTGAAAGAATACAACCCTATCACATACCTTTCTTAATTTTAAACCATTCAGTGTTCCACGTTCTGTTCAAACAACTGCTTCTTCGTCCATGTACAGATTCCTCATGAGTACTACTAGCCCTTGAGAGTCCCAGAAGACGGGAAGCATCAATTTTCCAGCTGATGGTTGAGTTTTTAACTTTTTCTTGGTTGGTGATTGAGGATGTTTCCATTTTGTACTCTGCCACCAGTGATGAATCCATGTCTCGTCACCAGTAAGGATTTTTTTTTTTTAGAAACTGACCTTCCTTTGAGTATTGATCCAAATATTGTTTGCATGTTTCCAAACCCTTCTTTATATGCTCTTCTGTGAGTTGTTTCAGTACCTATCTCACACAAACATTTTAAAACCCAAGTTTTTCATGGATTATTTCATAGACCGAGTCATGGCTGATTTTCAAATGATTTGCCACATAATCCACTGTTCACTCATCTATTTGACAGAATCATTTCACGTGTACACTCAATGATATCATTAGCCATAGATGGGTGTCTTAATACAACCGGAGTGCAGATAATTTTTGACTCACCCTCAGATGATTGATAAGTTATTGTTCAGTAATAAATGTGACAAGTGGTATGTAGGTTTGTATTTCTTTAGAATTTGTTCTGTGAGTCTCTTTATTGCAGTGCTTTATCAGATCAAGATTTATGGTTTTCAACTCTGAGAAAGGAACAAAAGTCAAAATAAATGCCACAAAGATGAGCAAACTATTCTCACATACTCTTCTCACTTTGAGCATATTTATTTTCACTTTGTGCACAATTGGGTTATCACCTGGAATCTTTCTCTTTTAGAGTGTTTTATATTTTTTGGGAATTCTTTCAAAATCATTGTTTGCCTCAAAAATTATAAATTAGGAAACTGAACTCAGGAAAGCTGAGAGATATGTCTCTGTGATAGGACAAAGGAAAGGTGGCAAAGTCAGGCCTCAAAACCTTTCTCTTTTGAATAAATCTAGTGCTCCTTTCATGGTATCACAACTACCTGTGACTTGGTGCTTACACCCATGGAAAGAAATATTTACTGTCATGAGAAAGGGCCATCAGCTCATTCTATTGCTCTAGCAGTCAGTGAATGTGATTACTTCTACATTAAAAATAACTTTTAGAAATAAATGAAGTGCGAAAAGTTGTATCCACTGCTAATTGTTGTTATGGGGTTCCAACTCCTAGTGACCCTATTACAACATAGTAAAACACTGCTAGGTTCTGCGCCATTTTCACAATTGTTACGATTGAGCCCATTGTTTCTGCCAGTGTGTCATTTTATCTTGTTGGGGTTCTTCCTCTTTTTCAGTGACCCTCCATTTTACCAAGCATGATGTCCTTTTCAAGAAACAGGTCCCTTCTGATAACATGGACAAAATATATAAGACAAAGTCTTGCCATTCTCACTCTAAGGAGCATTCTGGCTGTACTTCTTCTAAGACAGATTTGTTTGTTCTTCTGGCAGTCCATGGTTCTTTCAATATTCTTCCCAACACCACAATTCAAATGCGTCAATTGTTCTACTGTCTTCCTTATTGATTGTCAAGTTTTCACATGCATCTAAGGTGATTGTAAATATTATGTCTTGAGATCCAGCATACCTTCATCTTCAATGTGACATCTTTGCTCCTTAACATTTTTTTTAAGTGTTTATTGTGAATTGAGTGAAGATTTACAGAGCAGATTATCAGTTTTATAGTCAATAAATCATGCTTTGTTTCATTGCAGTGATTACAGTGCCCTCCATGTGCCATCAGTTAACAGTATTTACCTCTATTCCCTTTTTTGGTTTTGTTTTTGATGTACATATACAAAACAAAAAATATATCTCTATTTAAATGGCCAAAGTGTACATTTTACAAGCCAGCCTCTTGCCTGCAGGCACACAACCTTTCTCAGTCCATGAGCTTAGAGTCCTCAGCTGCTTTATCTCTCTATGCCATCACCTCTGCCACCGTCTCTGCTGTCACTGCTTTTCTAGGTAAGGTCTCACACTCCATTCTTGCTCTTCCCTCTTGGTGTTTCTAGGGTCCTCTTTTTCTTATATGAAAGATTAACTACTCCCCCTTTTAGTTACACCTCTTCTATATTTACACTTGTGACAATCGCAATTAGGCCTGATAACAATTACTCACAGTGGAATCATAAAATCCTATCACCATCATCCCCCATCACCTTTCATTGCATCCATCTGGAAAAGAGGAAAACTATTTAGTGGGGAATTCTACTTACCCCCTTATTCTAAAACTAAGCACACTCATGGAAGCTTGTAAGCTAGTCACTTCATGCCTTTCTAGCCTCCCATTTTTGATAGCCAATATCTAAGTTGCCTGTCCCTATCAACCCAGTGTATTGAGGAGTCAAGCTTGATCCTTGATATAAAGAATCCTTCCATTTCAGTTGGAATTTTGAGCAACTGCACCCATAAACAAAGGTCCAGTTCATCAAATTGTAGCAATTTACACTTATATCCTGTATCAAACTTACTTATCTTCCCTGGTCGAGTTCTGGTCAGCTAGTCATCTAAGCTAGGTCAGATGGGTACTAGCTACAGATTTGGGAGTTCGTGCACACCTCCCACCACCTCAGAATCTGGCTGCTTCACTCTCTGCTCTAGCCCCCAGTGGCTAAATCAATGTCCATGGGTTCAGGAGTTCACATGTCTCCATAAACTTCAGACCAGCCCTTCTTCTTGTATCTCTCATCTCAAGATTAACGGGTGTTGATGGAACATGGCCAAACTCAGCCCCTGTCTTCATTGCTGCATTACCCACACTTCAACTAACAAGTAGACCAGAGCAGTCATCAGCGAACGTACTAGATGGCTCATGTGTTCCCTTTGAGTTTCAGTCTTAGAAGAGGATTTGCTCTGATGGGTTAACTTTTCTTGCCTTGATGGTTCCAAGGCAAACAGCTTGCTTGATATTCTAACAGCTAAACAGTAGACTTTTTCCTGCTGGCCTTTCTTTCAAGAAGTATATTCTGTTCTTCTAGCCATTCTCGATTGGTTTGCATGTCTTTTCAAGTGGGACTATCCCACCTCAGACAGTTCTGGGTGGGGCTCAGGATTCCACCTAAGGCTCCATACTTCACAGAGGCTTAACATGAAGCCTATTACCTTGGGCAAATTCTAATTACCTTTTAGCAAATCCAATCAGTTACAGACTGAAGACAGGATTACAAGCATTCTGTAACCATAATTCCCAATATTCATTTCTGTCACACTTAATTGTCTATTTTGCAACAGTAGACAGGGGAGACCAATATCCATAAGATAGTCAAATCCTTTAACATTATTACCTCTCCTTTTATTAGCTGTTTTCTTCATTGTCCCAAGGTAACTGTTGTCTCCTACTCTCTAGTCAATATGTTTATACTCAGGAAAAAGAAGGGGTAATAAAAGA